TTCTTGGTGATGGAGTTCCAGGAATGGATTGTGAAAATTGTGTTATTGCTAATTCTTCTTTATCATCATTGTCACTACTTAAAGGCTCTTCTTCTTCCTCATCATCATCAGTTTCGATAGGTTCCTGAAATATCTCTAAAGCGAACAAATCAGCATTCGAATGTTCTTTAGACTCTTTCGCGTGTTTTTCTGAAGTATTCGGAGGGACATATAACGGATTCGCATCTAAATCCGTATTACGCGTAGTTTCATCATCTGCCTTTAATAAGTGAGCCTTTGAAAGTCCTTTTATTACTTTTAGTACAAGCACTGGACTCTTCGAATCTTCAATATTCAGCAAAGATCCGGATGAAGTATAATATAAACGAGAAATTTCACCAACTGGAATCCGTTTTATTTTGCCTGGAATACACTGTGAATGTTTTCCGAGCTTAGCTTCTTCTGCAAGTTGTTTTGCAAGGCCATCATTATCAAATTCTTCATGATATCTTCCATCATTTAAATCTTCAATAATTACCAATTCATACATGTACTCTCTTCTTTCCTCATTTTCTTTAACATCATGAACTCGATATAAAGCAGCATCGCATTTTGAGAATTCTTCTTTCCACGTAAAATCATTCACAGACTTGGGACGAACAGAAGCTGTAAACATGTAGTATAATTTTAATTTATATCCAGGTCCAACTCGTATCTGTTTGCTACTTTTTGAAAATAGCCGATTTGCTTCACGTAACGCATCTGACGCTTGAAGTAGACGAGAGGGACTGGTAGAGTTTGGTAAACTCCATCCTAAATTCGCACCACTAGTTGTCATCATTAAATTTAAATATGGTACAAATTTCTCAATCTTTTGTGTTAAAGACTGCATTTCATTAATAACTTTGGATGCATTGAAGAATTGTTTTTTATCCGTTGAAGAAGTTGACTCCGTTTCAGACAAATTATATTCAGAAAGACTACGTGCAAATGACTCAATCTCTTTACGTAATAGCGTTGTTTGAGCAGCTGTTGGTTCCAAAGCCGTGTTTCCGCGTGCAGATATAATTTCAATTAGATCTATAGCAGGCTGAACCATTCGAATCGTGGCTTCAAGTGTCTTAGGTGTTTATACGAAATAAAGACAGACTCAGTATATAAATGTTGGAAAGCATTATAATAGCGTAATAAAATTATGAATATACCGCTTTGACACGCTCAAGTTCCTCCAATTCGACGTTTTGTGTATTAGAAGCGTCGCGTTTGATATACTTTGTAACTTGATTCTTTAAAAATGAATAGAGTAGTCAAAAACGCGTCAAAGCAAGGAAAATTGACAAACAAAAAGCCTTTTAATGATACCATGGCATAGTTTGTACTATAGGCAAACGCCGCCTTGCCGACCTATAAAACAGTAGTTATAATGGATTTAGCCAGTATCGGCTTGCCAAACAACGGATAATGACCATTTGAAAAGTTACTTACAAAGGTGGCAGTATGCAAGGCTAATTTGGTCAATATTTCGTCCATTTTGAAAAGTAATGTATTAAGTACAAGCTTTATAATTATCAGAGAGAATATTAAGAGGACATCAGTTTAAATTTTTAAGTGTGGTACAAATACTGTCTTCCGAAATCATGTGATCATATAAAGTTATATTTAAATAGGGACCCGAATCTTGCCTTTTCTCTTACTCTAACGCTAATATATACCTAAAAGCCAACAATGGCCACTTTTAAATTCTGT